ACCAGCAAAAAGTCCCGCCAGTCCAGCAGCTTCTCCCTGCCAAGAAGAGGCATGGTGAGAGGCCGGGACCCCCGAAGCCCCAGCACAGCTGGGTGTGAAGCAATCCCCCAGCTCCCCTGGGGATGCCAGCTGTGCCCGCCCATGGACTCACCTCATCAGCTTCTGGGCACGGTCCCGCAGCCCCTGGGACAGGCTGTGGCCAGCAGAGGCCAGGAAGAGCTGGCGGTACACGGAGCAGAGCTGCCGCTTCACGTTGGCCACTGCCTGCAGCAGCCTGAGCCGGGAGACACAGACAGCGCAGAGTTTGGCCCCTGGAACTCCAGCGCCGCAGGGACAGCCATGCCACCCCCTGGGCTGGGAAAGGTCCCCGCCTGCCCCGGAGACTTTCCCTGGCCACCCCGTACTCACTCCAGGGAGCTCCCAGGCTCGCTCCGGGAAAATATCTTGCTCTTGAAGTCCACCCAGGTGTTCTGCAACTAGAGAGAGACGGGGCTCAGCGTCAGGCTGCAGGAACAGCAAGACAGGGTCCTTGTGTCCCCACTCCCACCTGGATGTCCTGCCCGCTCAGCTTCTTCACAAACTTGTCCATGCGCTGCCGCAGCTCAGCCAGGAACGGGTAGGAGCGTGGGGCTCCTGCCTCCGGCCCCTCTTCCAGCTTCCTCTCCAGCACCAAGAAACCATCCAGCAGCTGGTACAAGGTAACGGCCACCTGGGTCGTGGGGCCCTGCCAGGAAGGGGAGAGGTAGGTCAGCCAGGACCCAGCCCACCATCGCTTCCCTCACCTTAGAGGCAGCTCACCTTGGTCAGGAGGACAAGGGAGATGCCTGGCCAGAGTGGGAGGCAGTGCATGGTGTGTGGCAGCAAGGGGCAGTAACCTTCCCGCAGGTTGGCATCCAGGAAGATCCTTCTGGGGTTTGAAGCTTCAGGGACCAGAGGCCCCAAGGTCTGGAGCAAGTCCTCTGCCATCTGGGGAGAGAAGGGAGATGCTCAGCCCCCCCGCAGGGACAAGACAGCCCGCACCAACCCAGGACGCTCTGGTGGGACACAGCAATGCCCTGAAAGCTGCAACCAGGAAACAACTGAACAGGGGGAGCTGGAGGGGCCGCGCAGCAAAAGATCAGCAGTGAGGGAAGTGCCCAAGGACCCCAAAAGAGCAGCAGGTAGAGGGGAAGCCGCCTGCAAAGACACAGGTTGCAAACACCTTGCACCAAGGCCAGCACTTGCTTGCAGAGCGCGTGTGAGGCTCTGTGGCATCCGGCAGGGAAGCAGCCCAGAAAGTCCAGAGGCAGCAGAGGGAGACACCAGACTGCTCCGAGGCAGCCCCGGCCCCTCTGTGCCGACAGCTCTGAACAGGGAGACCATAAGCAATGTCCCAGGGAGTGTGGTCAGAGCCTTCACAGGGTTATGCACAACACGGGGGATGTGGGGCGCATCCCCAGCCGCAGCACAGCAAGGGACGAGTGACGAGGACCAGAGACCGCAAAGAGCACCAGGACAGGCTGGGGAGGCATGGAGCTGGGGGGGACTGCAGGACCCCTTGCTCACCTGGACATCTGCAGCGTCTGCCTCCCCGGTGCCCAGCATCTCAGCGCCCTCCAACCAGCTCTCGCTGCCTGCAGGGAGCACGGCAGGGCCCCCCTCCC